ATCTCAAAATCCGAAGTAGTTTGAACGACACTAACAGGAAAGGGAGTGCGAGATTGTTTTGCAGTGAACAAGAATGACAAACTTCACTAACTGATTTATTCGTAAAAGAAATAACATCTCCAAGCTTGAGCAACGTGGGAGCTGCAGGGTGGCCTAGGCGGGTGTGCCAATGATCCTTGGGCAACTCCTGACCTCAAATCGCAGCATGAACTCGAGCTTGTTCCTGTCCGAAAAACTTCAAGTAGTATAGACCATCGAGCATCTCACCCTTCCCAATCACGTTCTTTGAGTGTAAGTCCTGTTTAACGCACAAAACACCAAGACATATGAAGGCCACTTGCTGTTCTTGGCATAACCGACTCACAGACAAGAGATTGCAGCTGAATTCCGTTACATAAAGTACTCGACTAAGAACCAAGCCCTCATCAAGACGTGTTGATCCAATTTTCCGAACTGGGACGCTGGTTCCATTCGAGATTCGGACCGACGGACTAGAAACATCATGATGAGTTAAAACAAATAGAGAATCATCCATGGTTATATGTTCATTACATCCCGAATCTATTAACCAATCACGATCACCAGAGAAAGGAAACATACCAGCCATATTACTAGTAGGGTCGATGGGTGTGGCTACAGAAGTACTACCCAAAAACTTCTTCAGATATTCCAATTGTTGAGGGGTAAAATCGTGAACGAGGCTTCCATCCGGATCATCATGTGCAGACCTTGGCTCTTTGGAGAGAGGATTATCCCGACCACCACCCCGAATGGTCTCACGACCACGACACTTATTTCCACGATCACCCTGTTGGTCACGAGGCGGACAACCAATTAACTCATAGCATGTCTCACGCTAGTGCTCGGTTTTGAGACAATGTGAGCATTGTAGGCACTCTTTCTTCCCTGGACGGCGCTCCCAACTACCGCGGCTTGCCGCAACGGGCTTCTCTTCCCCCTTAGCAACAAGCGCATCAGCTTCTGGCACCGGTAGAGTAGAGTAGGCGTGGGAGTCATAGATAGAATGTGACTCCGCACCGTGCTAAAAGTCTCGTCAAGCCCGAGAAAGAAGTCCAGCAGTCTGAGACTCTCATTTTGATCACAACCACGCCGACCACAGGGGCAAATTGGTGGCACCAAAATTGATTGGGTCTCTTCCCAAACTTTACAGAGTTGTGTGTAGAAATTAGGGACCGTCTGCTTCTCTTGTTGGAGTAGGCTGAGGTGATGACGAAGCTCGTATGCTCTCGTCGAATTTTCCTTACTGAACTGATCACGGAGATCCTCCCATATCTCTTGGGCGATCTTCGCGTGCATGACACTACTACGCAACTCGGCATCCATAGCCGTGCGCAACCAACCTTTGACAAGTACATCACAGCGCAACCAGACATGTAGATTCGGCGAGCCAGAATCTGGCCGAAGAATGGTTCCATCCACGAAACCCAATTTATTCTTTGTTACCAGCGCATCGGTCATCTCCAGAGTCCACTCGCTGTAGTTTGTGGGAGTAAGTAAACTGCTGACGTGCAAGTGTCCCGTACTATCAGATTGGTGAATGAAGAATGGACCGTTCGCAACCAACCAGGCTCTGATACCATGAAGAATTATGTGAAACTAATGCAGAAAACGTAATGAACACAGAGATATACGTGGTATCCTCGATGATCGGGACTAGTCCATGGAGAGTTCAGCACTCTCCAGCTTTAGGTTTTCTTATTCAACTTGGTTTTTGGCAGAATGCCTTACACCATGATTTATACCCATTCTCATTATCAACTAGGGTTACATGTGCATGGACAAACATGGATAGTACGTGGGCACAAGACGCGGCCGAATTGGGCCGAGCTGACCCGCCAGTGGGCTCTGAAGTGGGCTGATCGGCAGTCTCCAATAACCCTTATATAGGAAAAAAAAACTTGATTTGTGTCTCAAGTTTTCACTTTAAAATGGTCAACCACTATCTTTACAACATTCACTATCATTTGAGTTATTGTTGGATTGCATACTCTTTGTTATGGGGAAACCTAAACCTCTGTCTTTCCTTGTCAAAAACGACAGTATGTGAGTTGGTTCGTTGGCAAATCTGCAGTATGTCTATTTACAAGCCTGCGTGTTAGTATGGCTCTTTCCTGAAAGTGGTACTCTGTCTTTGATGCCCTGCTACTTGATGTGGAAGGAAAAAAGTGCGAGGGAATGAAACTCACTAGCGAGTGACTCGACTGACTAACAGTTCGTTTGATCATTCAAGCGTCAATTCATGGGTTTCGGCCATATCTGCAGCAGGAGCGAGCTTCTTGTCCAATTTGTCCAACGAGGTATGACTTTTGGTCATATAAATGAGACTTCTCAACACCATGGTGGATGAAACCGTATCGATACCGTACCAGAAAAGTCAGTGGTAGGGTATTTTATGGCAAAACCGTGGTTTAACCGTAGTTCAACCGTTAGTACCGTTAAATACCGCCTATCGGTTTAACCTCCGATACTGGTATTTTGTGATTGAACCGACAGTACAGTATGATTTCATGGACCATGCTCAACAGTATTTTGACAACGACGAAAATTGTTCAATTAACTGAGAACTCATCCTTAACTAATTTCATACAAAAACTCAGTTCTAGCTAGCAAATTGGCAAACCTTAAATGATCGAGAAATCTACCACTCTGATAAAATAGTTTCGAGTTACAAATTGAATTTGTACAATAATATTAAAGATACAAGTTCAGTTTGTGTCATAAATAAACTTGTAAAAAAGGTATAGTTACTAACTATATTTGTATCATTACATCAAAGATACAAATCCCATTTGTGTCTTAAATGGTTTTTTTCATGTAAATCAAGCACCGATGCTATTAATCATTGTAGAATTCATCTCGAGTAAGATGCAAAATAAATTGCGCTTCATTCCCAAACACAAAAACTTATGTACTTCTCTATAGAAGTGACAATTTTATATCCAATCCACGAATACAATCAAATCCATCCACTAATCCAATCCAATTCATCCAATTCATTTCATCTGAATACAATTGTATTGGTAGATTGGATTCATGGATATTTGTAAAGTTATCGTTTAGTAGATATATTTTTGTTTTACTTTAATTTTTTTTAACATAAAATCTCACGGGAAATATTTTTATTAAGACATTTAGCATTTAAAATTTTCAAAATTTACATATTGGTCCAATGTTTAAATGTCACTTTGATCAATGAATTCAATTATCTACCAATCCATTTGATCCATATCCATAAATCCAATCCATTTGCCACCTCTACTTCTCTACTTATAAATTTCGCTTTCGCACATTCAAATCTTTAGCCAGTCGATGCAATCGAATATAAATCTTATACCTCTTTTTTTTAGTGTAAACACAGTTTCATTGTGCCTACTTTGGAGATTCATATCTTACAATTGACTCAATGGAAATTGGAGATTAATAGCTTGTTTTGAAGCCGGAGTGTTCCTCTACACATTGAAGTGCTTGGGAGCTTGATAGGAAGTCCAGAAAACCAATTTTGTACCTGATCAAAAAGCTATGCAAAAACTGGGAAACTGCCTGAAAATGGCTAATTTTGGGAACGTGTTTGTGAAGTCTACTTTGGAGCTCAATTCGATAAGCATGAATGAGAGTCGAGTCCAGGGGTCTCTACCAAATGAAAGTATGTATGTTTGTCTACAAAGGCAAGGCATAGGATGAAATATTGAATATCTGGAAGGCTTCAAAGAAAAGGATCGAAGTTGCTACAAATGCTGTATTTCTGACAGTTTGCTTGTGTTAGAAGGCAACTTACTTTGTAGAAGGCAGCTTACTTCATAGCAACTTCGAGCCTTATGTAAAAATCGCTTTTCATATCTAACATTCATTTTTTTATTTGTTTCTTCTTTTTGATTCTTTTATATTCTCTTCTTTGCCTCAATTAAGTTATCATGGATTTTAGTTAATTGATTATTTTTCTATTTATTTACTATTTGAATCGTTTCAAATAATTTTGCATTGATTTTTATTGATTGATGATTTATTTATATCTATCATATTTTTATGAAAAAAATTGGACTATATTTTGTTTATAAAAAATATGGACCATATATCTACTTAATTACTTACAACTATTATATATCGCAACAAAAAAAAACAGCCTTCAAGGTCCCATTGCCGGTCACTTTAATCCATCATCACCGTTGTAGATTGGTCAGAGATAAACTGAACTGCCGTATATATTATATATAATCAACTGTTAATATTGGGGTTGTGGAGATTCGAACACACGATCACTTGGCCAAACAAACTCTGATATCATGTATCAAGAATCAATTGATCCCGATAACTAGAGTTGTTGGGAGAAGGTTCTGCTGGATCTTAAACCACTCTCTAACACGTACCAGCTACGAATTGATCTGCGTGGTGCCGCCATGCACCGAGAATCCGTCGTGCTTCCGCTGCCTCTGCCCTGCGTAATTATCCGCACCTCCAAGTTCGCATAGGTCGTCCTGTTCGGCGCCAAGCCAAGCCAAGCGTCGTCCAGTTGAATCTCTCTTCCTCCATCGGTTGCGTCGTCGCAAAGGCCTTTCTAGAGACGACGATCGAGCACTCTCTTTGCGATGTTCGCTAGATCAATCGCCTTCCAATTCTTACCTGGCTGGCATGCAGCATCACTACTCGATCTCCTCTCTGCCCGGCCCTATGTTACTCAGACGTTCAATGGCCATTATTAGATTTGTCATCCATACCCTACGAATATGGTATATATATATATATATATTTTATGAATGGCGTTTCCAGCTTGATACGGAATACTTGTACTTGTGGCCTGTGGGTTGAGGTTGAGCCCATTAGCAAGTGATAAGTGAGTGGGTAATTAAAAGAATATCCAACTGCGTCCGTACATCTCTTTTGCCAACCCAGACCCTCGTAATTATCCAGCCTCCTTTTGGTTCCAATTAAGATCTTCACTTCTTTACTATATAAAGAAACCTCTTCCCCCAACTAACCCAACTACTCGATCTGCTAGCTAGCTTCTATTTTCTCCTCAAACAAACAACTATATCGAGCGAGCGAGCTAAGTTGGTTTTATTTGCCGCCTGGGTTTCCATTCTTCTCCCTCCTTCTCCTCTTCCTTACTTATTCCTTACCATGGAAACCACGATGGCTCTGGCCCTTCTGTCCGCCGTGGCCGCCTATTTGCTCTGGTGGAAGGTCGTGTCGCGTCAACTGACCGGTCCACGTGTCTGGCCTCTACTGGGCAGCCTCCCCGGCCTGATCGCCAACTCCGACAGAATGCACGACTGGATCGCAGACAACCTCGTCGCCGCCGGCGGAACGTACCAGACCTGCATCGCCGCAATCCCTTTCTTGGCCCGGAAGCAAGGCCTCGTGACCGTCACGTGCGACCCAAGGAACGTGGAGCACATCCTGAAAGCCCGCTTCGACAACTACCCCAAGGGCCCACCTGGCAGTCCGTCTTCCATGACCTTCTCGGGGAAGGCATCTTCAACTCGGACGGCGACACGTGGCGGTTCCAGCGCAAGACCGCTGCGTTGGAGTTCACCACCCGGACCCTCCGACAGGCCATGGGCAGGTGGGTCAACCGGGCCATCAAAACCCGGTTCTGCCCCATCCTGGAGTCGGCTCGACTCCGAGCCGAGCCGGTCGACCTCCAGGACCTGCTCCTCCGCCTCACTTTCGACAACATCTGCGGCCTGGCCTTCGGGAAGGACCCGCTCACCCTGTCTCCCGAACTCCTTGATAACGGCTTTGCCGTATCCTTCGACCGAGCCACCGAAGCCACGCTCCAGCGGTTCATCGTGCCCGAGCTCGTGTGGCAGCTCAGGAAGAGGCTCCGGCTCGGGATGGAGCCCATCATGAGCCGGAGCCTCCAATACATCGACAGCTACCTGTCCGACATCATCAACACACGTAAGCTCGAGCTTGCAGGACGGTTTGAGAACGATGTGAACCCACACGACGATTTGTTGTCACGGTTCATGAAGAAGAAAGAATCCTGCTCGGACAAATTCCTCCAATACGTGACGTTGAATTTCATCATAGCTGGACGTGACACGTCGTCCAACGCGCTGAGCTGGTTCTTCTGGCTGGTGATTCAGAACCCCATAGTGGAGGAAAAAATCCTCGCCGAGATCTGCACCGTCCTGATGGAGACACGTGGCGAGCTGTCGCCCGATTGGCTCGACGAGCCACTAGGGTTTGAGGAAGTTGACCGATTGATGTACCTCAAGGCGGCACTATCCGAGACGCTGAGGTTGTACCCCTCGGTGCCGGAGGACTCGAAGCACGCGGTCGCCGACGACGTGCTACCGACCGGAGATTGCGTCCCGGCGGGGTCGTCGGTGACCTACTCGATCTACTCCATGGGCCGGATGAAGTTCATGTGGGGAGATGACTGTCTGGAGTTCAAGCCGGAGAGATGGATGTCGTCGGACGGCAGCAAATTCGAGGCACAGGATGCATACAAGTTCGCGGCGTTCAATGCGGGGCCCAGGATCTGTCTGGGGAAGGACCTGGCGTTTTTGCAAATGAAATCGATTGCGGCGGCGGTGCTTCTCCGACACCGACTGACGGTGGTCCCGGGACACCGCGTGGAGCAGAAGATGTCGTTGACTCTGTTCATGAAGTATGGGCTGATGGTGGAGGTTGGACCGAGGAACCTTAGGCCCATCGTGGATAAAGTGAAGGCGGTGGAAGGCGGCCCGCCTATTAATGCGGAAGTTGCCCTTGCTAAGGGCAATGGTCACGAGGGGTGTAGGACTGATCATCAATTGGCGGCCGCGGTTGCTTGATATTTTGATTGTCCATGGTAAAATTATGCATCTGTATGAAAATTTTATGTTATGGTTTTGGTATACGTAAGATATATCAATTTAATTACCATGCGTGATAGAAAACTAAATACGTGTGTTAGGGGTGTCAAACGGTCCGGTCTGGATCGGATCGGACCATACTAAGAATTTGGCTTTGTCATGGGACATATGTAAGTTTTCAAAAAACGTTAATAAATTCCTATGTATGTATCCGAAGGTGATTGAACTCGCCACTTTAAGATGATGTTAATGTATTTTGCCACTGTATTAAGGCTTGTTTATATCATAAATTAATTTATTGCACTATATAAGTGAAATTATAATAAAAAGGTTAATACGTTAGTTTGGTCCGAACTATATACAAACTTTCTACTTTGACCTGTGGTATCGGAAATTGTTAATCTGACCTAAACTATGTAGCATACTTCCTTATTTGGCCCGGAGGGGATGGGATAATTTGGGAACCTCTTTTAATTAATATTTTTGCTTCTTTAATTATTTTTTTGTTTATCATTTTTATTATTAGAAAGTAAAAAAATTCAGAAATAAAAAAAAAAATATTCCCTGATAGCTGACGTGGCAAGTGAGGTGGACATTGACTAACAGTCAACTCGGTTGACCGTCTAATTTGACGGTCAAACCCGCCTTCGGGCCAAATAAGAAAGTATGCTGCATAGTTTAGGCCATAATAGAAATTTCCGATACCACGGGTCAAAGTAGAAAGTTTGTCTATATTTCGGGCCAAACTAAGGTATTAACCATAATAAAAACTATTTATATTCTGAATCATGGATAAGTTGTGTATTTTATTTTCTTTCATCATAAAAAATTATTAATAACTAAAGATATATGTTCAATAAGGGAGGGGTTACGGTGCTAATTGTACAATAGTTAGCACCGTCCTAACCAAGGGGAAAACTACTACTAGTTTGAATTAGTAGTGATTTAGCTTAGATGTTGTATTGATTTTATAATAATCCGTAATGATTTTTGCTAGTTATCACGGTGCTAACCCCTATAAGGGTTAGCACCTAATCCCATCCCGTTCAATAATTGTTTAACAATTTTTCCGACACAATCATAAATAAATAAAAAATCAAATGAAAACTAAGATTCAGTTACATCCCAAATTTGAAATTTTATTTAATTTTTCATGTAATTTTAATTTCAAATTGAAAAATAAAAATTAAAGAACCCTCTTTAGTACAATAGAACACTTAAACAAAAAAAGAGGAGCTTTTGGTGATATGACCCAATCAGAATCTAGTGACGGTAGTAGCAATTAGGGGTGGGCATTTGGTCGGTTCGGTTCAAATCGAACCGAAGTAATGCATACCGGGTCCAAGAATTTCATCAAACCTCAAACCGAATTCGAACTGAATTATAATTTGGTTCGGTCAGTTCAAATCGAATTATAATTTGGTTTGTTTCGGTTTTTCATACAAAACCGAACTTGTGAGGTTAGCTTGTATCTTCTCTTTTTTAAAAAAAATTTCACCCATAATGTAAATAATAAATATGCATCACAATGATAAAATCAAATATTTCAACACATAAGTCATAAAACACTAACATGATTTAAATATTTAAGTTTCAGAATAAGTAGAAACACAAAAATCCACCATTTGGAGTTTGCAATTATAATAATTCGGTTTTTCGTTCGGATTTTGTAAATTGGGTTCGGTCGAAAGGACCCTGGTTTCCGAAATATGCCCTTTTCTCTTATGAATTCCAAACCAAATAACATTAATTCGGTTTTGGTTTGGTTTTACCGAACCGTATGCCCACCTCTAATAGCAATGGGTGGAGCGTGAGAAGGGGAATGGGGGATGGCGACAACCGATGAAGAACGCAGAGGAAGAATAAGGATCACAAGGCGATGGCGGTGGGTGCAGAAAAGAGACCAGATCCAGAATCAAGCGAAAGCATAAGGGTCTGGAGGCGGCGACTCTTTTAACGATTTGCGGCGCGGTGGCTTGTGGACGTGCAGTAGAGATGTGAAAGGGAGTGAGATTGAGAGTACAGGGTAGAATCAAAGGTTGGGTCTGGTTGGGTTGGCTTTGATAATTTGGCGGGTTTTGATGACATGGCAGATATAACTTTTTCCGGTTGAAATACATTGATTAGACGTTTCAGTTAGCTACGTCAGCAGTTTCATGACGGCGTTAATGGAGACTAATGGTCGTAACGACCACTGACCAAACTTGAACTATTGAACTAATTTAAGTGATTGCAAATGGAAAAAAAATATTTTTAGTGGCAAACGTGAATTTTTTAGTAGACATACAATTTATCCAAAAATTAATTGACTAAATGACATGGAATTTTTTTGGGCCATACTAAATCCTATGTGGCAAAAGGTTGCTCTAAAACAACAATAATATAAGTTAAGACATGTTAATCCACATCAAGAATATAATTTTATTAATTATAAGAAGCAAGATGCCTAATTATGAACTAAACTGATAACCTCGCTGACGTTGAGTGTGTAAGGGCCGGACTGAGACATCTGGGAGGGGTAAAGTTTTTCGTCGGCGGCGACGATGGCTTTTCCAAACGAGTTCCGACAGTGGATGGCTTGGGGTCTTGAGAAAGAAGCGCCCTCGTACCCTGTGCTATCCCATTGAGTCTCGCGCTCTCATCTTCTCTCATAAAGAAATCGATGGAGCTCTAGTTTTGTCACTTCCTTTCTAACTCTGTTGTCCGTGCTTGACCGGTGAGTCGGTGACACCAATAGATCCTTCGAATATAAGTGACACACTAGACATGTATTTGGAAATCCATTCATATATTTGGTACAAATTCAAATACAATATGTAATTAATATTTAAAAAAATGTATATAAAAATCCAAATCCTTGGTCCAAGTACACCTTCGAACATTTTCCTCAGCTGAGGGATTTCTTTTAACTCAATTTTGTTGTTGTTAGTGTTAGGTGATGAATTCTTAATGATGATGCCAACTCTGCCATACATAGCAGCTGCTATGGCTTAATTGCAAGTTTGGTCACTCGAATTGCTACAAAATTTCACGTTTGCCACTCAAATTAATTTATTCCAGTTATAGTCACTTAAATTAGGTTAACAGTCCAAGTTTGGTCACTGGCCGTTAGTCAGTGGCGGATCCAGGGGGTGGCCACCCCGGGCCCCGGCCCAGCCCTCCTCTGGATCCGTAGTTAGTATAGTCCTTATGAATTTTTCGATTTTAGGTATTCGGCTTAGTGTGATTTTATAATAAAATTGGGTATAACTAGAAAAATGATTCAGATGACCATATTCAAATCACTACTCTAAATTTAGCCTTTAAATTTTAGCCCCAAAGATTATGCATATAAAAAAAAAACAACGAAACCTAAAATTCTAAAAGTTTAAAACGTAAAAGATTAAAAGAAATATGAGATTTGTTCCCTTGAAAACTTACTAGAGCAGTTGGTGGATGCAGGGATTGACACACAATGCCAATTGATTAGTCGATTGATTTGTCTATTGTTAATGTTGCTCGTTTCAACAGCTACTACGAAGAGAACCTTTTCAACAATGAAATATGTGAGAACTGATTTGCTCAACAAAATGAGCGATGAATTTCTTGCCGATTGCTCAAGTATTTTATTTGAAACAGTGTATACTATTGGTATGGATGTAGGCTCCATTATTGATGCATCACTAAATTAAAATACCGTCGTGTACAATTTACATTGGAAAAAACTATAATCATTATGTTTTTTTACTATTCAATTTTCTAATGAAACTCGGCCCAGTGCTCTTCTGTGTTCTGGATCCGCCGCTGCCGTTAGTCTCCGTTAACTTTTGCTGATGTGGCGGTCAACTCTTATAGTTGACCGTTAAATGAGTGACGTGGCGATTAAAAAATTAATAAAATAATTTAATTTAATTATTTTTTATTTTCCACCTAATTATTATAAAAATAAAAAAAACCTAATTCCTTTTAATTGTTATTTTCCACCGCCCGTAGCTTTCTTTCCTGAATTCCCAAATCCCTTTCAAACCCTGAACCCTTCGAAACCCAAAATTTCCTCGCCGCAATTGGCGAAAATGGCTTCCATCTCCTCAAAGTTCCCGGCCAAATCCCTAACCAAGTTGTTGACTTTCAGTCCGAAGAGCGGCATCTCTCGCTCCCTATCAGCCGCCCACTGCCGCAGCGCCTTCAGAGACCCGAACCCAGAAGCTGGAACGCATCGCCGACGATCTACTCGACCTCACGAAGCTCGAGCGCCACGACTACGCTGTCCAGCGAAGGCGATAAAAGGGAAGAGGAGATTGCCGATGAAACTGAAGAGTCCGTTACCGGAATCACCCTTGGAGACGGAAATATCGACGCCGTTCATCGCTAAGATGTCGATTAGGTCAGGATCGGCTGGGACGGTGACGGCGGCCCGCCGGCCGTCGACGGCGGTCAGCTGGAGGGTGGACCCGTCTTTGCTGAACCGAACCCGCTCCACTTTCCCCTTCTTCACCGCGTTCAGAAACTCGCTATATCGCCATTGGGTTCCCTCGGGAAGGTCGGAGGCGACGGGTTGGCCGGCCGGGAGAGGTCGTCGACCTGAGGGGAGAGGAATGGCTACGGGCGGTGGAAAATAACAATTAAAAGGAATTAGGTTTTATATTTATTTTTATAATAATTAGGTGGAAAATAAAAAATAATTAAATTATTTTATTAATTTTTTAATCGCCACGTCACTCATTTAACGGTCAACTATAAGAGTTGACCGCCACATCAGCAAAAGTTAATGGAGACTAACGGCCAGTGACCAAACTTGAACTGTTAACCTAATTTAAATGACTATAAATGGAATAAATTAATTTGAGTGGCAAACGTGAAATTTTGTAGCAATTCGAGTGACCAAACTTGCAATTAAGCCCAGCTGCTATATAGTCAAATTGTGGCGAGGACAGTACTCTGCTATGATTTCTGATCGCCATATGAATACTTAAAACAGAAACTAGATCATACTGGCAATATAAAAGGAAACGATAACACAGCACTTCAGATCAAAGTTGAAAACAAAATAACAAAAGGCCTGAGCCATAGACTGCTGACAAACAAAACGAAAGAAGAAACAAGAACAAACTCAAAAGCCACTGTTACTAGGACCCATGAAGGAAGTCCCCAAACCCTGCAAAGAAAAAAAAAGACCAAACCAGCCAAATCGAATCCATTAATGAGAACTGGAAGCAATCCTATCTATTATAGCTGCAAGCACATCCTTGGACTCCCTCAGCAGCTTGATGCTCCCACTCAGCTTCTCCTTCTTCGCAGCGACGAATGGCGACTCCTCCAGCATCTTCTCTATCGCCCCGCCATGCCTCCCCATCAGCTCCTCCACGATCCCCTTCTCCAGCTCCTTCTCCACCAAGTTCCTCAAGCTCAGCTGCACGTGCAGCGCCATCGAATCCACCAGCCTCCTCTGCACTATCTTCCAATACGTCGCGATCCTCATCTTGAGGTCGTAAGCCTGCTCCAGAACCAGGATGTTCCTCACGCTTTCCACAATCGAAACAGTACCAAACCCTACAATCGATACATTAGAATGAGAACGAGCAGAATTCAGGAAACCAGGCCTCGCAGCCATAAGTCTGTTCCACTCCGACATGTAGTCAGGATTACAAGTGTAATCCGTGAGCTCTTCCATCTGCAGGACTTCCAGCACCCAATTCGCGGACCTGTCCCTCAACTTCTCGATCAGGTTGTGACAAGCTCGCCTGATGGAGAACTGGAGCTGCTGGTGGTCTTCACAGCGCTTCATCACAACAGAGAGCACAACACTCTCTATGTAGCCCCATACTTCCTCAATGAATCCAACGGGGATTCCTGAAATCCCTTTCACCTTTCGATTGAGCAGCGTCAGGAAAGCAGATTGGGAAAGGAAATCAGGAAGGCGAATCCCTTGTACTCTTCCAGGACCCGGATTTCGTCCACCAGGAAGTTGCTCTTGTGGTCGTTCTCCGGTGCGTCGCGGAGTTGTGCTGAGAATTTCTCCAGCATTTCAACCAGCCTGGCCGTGCAGTGCATTTGGTTATCGTCAGGGTACTCGTTGAATTCCCCTCTGATGATTAGTTTCCTGAGGGATTCTTTGGCAGATCCAACTATACCCATGAAGGTAGTCACTGCCTCTCCCACTGAAGTCATTGTCTTCGGCATCCTATTGAGCTCAGCAATGTTGGAGCTCAGCTTCTCATTGATTTTCTTAACTATCTCAGGCAAGCACCTGGGGGAAAAAAGGTTGCCCAGAAATCGAAATCAAACAAAAGTTTTCCTGATGAGTACAAGTAATATTGAAAAGTTTACAAATTTGGATTTATGCTGGATTATTTTACCTGGAGATGATTGTAGCCTGAATTTGAACCAACCTCTGAGCCAGCACAGGAACTCCAACGATAGATTTGTCGATCTTCGAAAGCAGGGGATGAGTCCCGAACAGCTGAGCCTCCGCAATTCTTGCTTCTTCGTACTTCTCCTCTCCAATCCGATTCCGGACGCAGACATAACCAAGTCCGATCCCGACGTCATCGGCGGCCACCTTCTCCAGCAATCCTTCCGGCGACTTGTCGACTTTGGTGACAACAGCCAGAGTCCGATCCCCTGTTTTGTCCACTTTCTGCGACATCCTTATAGATTCACAGGTCGAGAAATCTACAGTCGCTGAAAGTACATTGAGTATAATGCTCTCCTCGGGATTGATATACTCCATTATTGTTGCAGTCACATGCTCGTAGATGTCCTCCGGCTGGCCGTGGACGGGGACTCGAGTGATTCCAGGGAGATCCACCATCGTCAAATCTGGAACACCATTCTTTCTGACTACCAGAGTCAGGGGATTGTTGGAAATCCCTTTGCCGCCGCCAGCAATCTCCTCCGTGGCGGAATTGATGGCATTTGCGACACTGCTCTCATCTGTGGTGACTTTCTTAGCGGACCCGTCGGCGGTGTACTCTAGATAGAGCTCCGGCGTAGCGGCGGGATGGTGGTGGAGGCGCATGATGAGGGGGACTCTGGTGCAGATCCCCTGCCCACGAGGGAGGCTGATTCCGGCCAAAGATTCGAGGACGCTGGACTTTCCGGAGGACTGATCGCCGACTACGACGATGGTCGGCAGCTGGATTCCTTCCTTGGCAGCGACGTTGAGGTGGCGGAGCTTGTCGACGGCGTCGAGAAGTGGACGGATGCGGTCATTGAAGGAAGACACTATGGGAACATTGTTGGTGTTATGATTCTCAGAGGTAGCTGAAACTGGGACTATCTGGGAGTCAACTTGCTCGTTATTGGAAGCATTTTTGCTATGTTTCTGGCTGCTTTTGTTGCCGCCGGCCATTTCTGTGGACGCAAATCGGTACGCTCTTGTAACTGTGGAATTGGGTTTTTGCTTGAAGGAGAGATGGGTTTCTGAGCAAAAGGAGCGATGTGGCGAAGAAGAAGGTTTGTGCAACGTTTATATAGGCGGGGAGATCATCTGTTACGGTGTGGAAGATGGAAGAAAAGGTTCTTTGGTTTTCCCCAGCATGCATCAGCAGTAAATTTCTCTTCTTTTGAGTTTCCTTGGGAGAGAAAGTTTTTAACTTTTCCAAGAACAAAGGGATGGACTTTAGGTCTGCTTATAGCCTAATAGGTTACATCCTCCGCAATTCCCAAGTCCTAACTGCAAGCCATACTTAACATCGCGAATGAATAATCTTAGGATTAATTCCTTAAATACAGTAATAATTAAAAATAATTCCCAGAATACCTAACTTTTAAAAAAAATTCCCAAACTACCAAAGTTTGACACAGTTCGAGTTCACAAAACTCGAACTAGTACCGGATCGATTGGCAAAAACTCGAACTAGTACCGGATCGATTGGCAAAAACACGATCCACGTGCATCGAGGATGGGAAACTCGAACTACATGAAGTGGATCGATGACCTGTGCAGCGCTCCACCATTGATCGATGTACCAGGAAGCGATCACGATCGTTCGATTGCTCAACCAGCGAAGCAGTGATGACCCGGATCGAGTGCGGTAAACTCGAGGTATGTGGATCGAGTCAGCTATAATTGATCTAATTGACGTGGATCGATGACGTCAGGCGCGCCCTACCGTTGATCGAGTGATCTAAACTCGATCTAGGCCGTTCGATTGTCAAACCCGCGAAGCAGGGATGACGCGGATCGAGTGGGTAAAACTCGATGTAATGGATCGATTTTCCTTTAATCGATCAATTTGACGCGGATCGCTGATGTCAGGCTCAATCTACCGTTGATCGATTACCCTAACCTCGATCTGGGTCGTTCGATGCGCCTAACCACGAACTGCTTTTGACGCGGATCGAGCGCCCAAAAATCGATGCAGTAGTTCGAGTTTTGTAAACTCGATCCACTCTCCCACAGAACCTATAAATACACCCCTCATATTCCACCAAAACTCACACCACTCCATTCTTCTTCCTCTCTTCCTCCCACCACTCTTGAAGAAAAAAATATGCTCTGTGGTTGCGGCTAAGCCCGATCTTCCGCATCAAATTTTTTTTCTTTAGTTTGGTACTTCTATCACTCAAAATTGTCGAGATGGATCCAAGTATTTACGATCCTAGATTATACATTCAAGGTGGACCGCGAGAAACCGATTTGTTGGATGAGCAACCTTACCATCGGTCTGAAAGTGTTTGGGCGGCAGATCCGGTAGGCACTTCCTCTTGTACTTTTTTTTTAATGTGATAGTATTCTTCTAATTTTTTTTATAATAATTAATGTTTTTTTTTCTACAGGAACAACTTGACGTAATCACCCATCGGTCGCTATCTCGCTTGCCTAAATGGGATTATCGTATCGAGCCCTTCATTGAAAGAGCGCGATTGCTGAGGGTGCGAAAGTTTGTGGGGATGGAGATGGACAACAACCTTCTTACGACAATGGTGGAAAGATGGAAAAAAGAAACGCACACATTCCACCTTCTAGAGGGAGAGATGACGATTACGTTGAAGGACGTAGCCATGCTGACAGAGCTTCCAATCGATGGTGATGCAATAATAGAAAGTTCTTCAAAACCATTGAATGGTTGGGGCCAATTTATAACGAGCGTTTAGGTAGCATCATCCCAGAGGAAGCAGAAGAAGGTCGTCGTGTACCACCTCTACACAAGTCTATGCTATTGATACCTTGGCTAGTGAGGACCGTTGGGGAATTACTGGAGGATGCCACGGATGCTCAGATAGAGAGGTATGCTCGCATCTACCATATTTGTTTGGTTGGAGGATTTTTGTTTTCGAACAAGTCTGGTGGAAATATGCATTGTATGTGGCTTCGAGTTCTTTTGGAAGATTGGGACGAGATTGGGAGAAAAAGTTGGGGATCTGCTTGTTTGGCGATGATATATTCGGAGTTGTGCAAGTGTACGGATCCGAAAACAAAGCAAGCGGGTGGTCCCATGTTCATCCTCCAACTATGGGTTTGGGAGCACCTTCCTACTTTCGCTCCGATCTGCCCTGCCAACAGTTGGGGTCCCGATGAGCCACTACGACAATGGGCTTATGGTGCTAGATGGATTGGAGCTATCACGAGTTTCACCTCTCTAGACGGGTACCGCCAACATCTTGACCGTATAGAATTCAACGAGGTAACATTCTAGCTTATGATTATTTATTTTTAATTTATTTGTTGAAGTTATTTGTCTTAGCCCATGATTTATTTTTACAATTATGAATAAGTTTTTATTTGTTGAAATTATTTGTCTTAGTCTTAGCCTATGATTTATTTTTATGATTACGAATTCTATTTTATTTGTTGAAATTATTTATCTTAGCCATTATTTATTTTTATGATTACGAATTCTATTTTATTTGTTGAAATTATTTGTCTTAGCCCATTATTTATTTTTATGATTATGAATCCTATTTTATTTGTTGAAATTATTTGTCTTAGCCCATTATTTATTTTTATGATTATGAATCCTATTTTATTTGTTGAAATTATTTGCCCCGATTTTAATTTATATGTTGTGTTGAAACTTAGGTGGATGGGATCCGTATCCGAACGGAGCAAAGGATTTGTACGAGTTGCGATACCCTGAGGATCGCCGACTCTGGTCGTGCAAGTTGCCTGTGATTTGCCACAACATTGTCGAGTGGCACCTCCCGGATAGATGTGTCCGACAATATAATTGGGCGCAACCGATTCCTCTCCCACCACCGGACGTACATAAGTCACTCCACAAGCACAGCAAGGATCTGCGGGGTACAATAAGTGATTGGCCAACCAAGCACCATAGATGGATCGAAATGTGGGAGTCTCGTCAGACGTATGCAATTGATGGGATCCCAATGACGAGGCCAATGGGGTACCAAGATGAATACATGGTTTGGTACCGCAAGTTCACAAAAAGATGGGTAACCAAACGTGGCGCCATGATCGGTTCATTGGTAAGCACAATATCTATTTACTATAATCACTTTAGCTACACAAATAGTGTTTGACTAACATGTTTATTATTTAGGTTGATGGGTTGGAACTTGCATCAATGACGTTGGAGAATGAACCAGAAGATGATGTTCCAGGGGAGAAAATTTCATTCTTGAAGAAGCTCTTCAAGAATCTCTTGTCATGTTCGCGGGAAATCCGAAGGGATGTCATTGCATATCCTCCTGCTCCTGCACCGCCACGTCCTTCCTCCCACACCATTGAAGTTGAATCTCTCCCGCCATCACCACCAAGGAGGAGTAAACGTCGGCAAGAGCCCGTTACAGTCCCTGTGCATGTACGATAAGATGTGGCACTTCCTGACCCATACGAGTATGGATTCCCTCCCGCCAGAAGGGAATTCGGAGAGGGATCATCAGGTTCTGCTCAAGGAGGGGGAGGAGGAGCCTACTATTCATCGTATGGTCATCAATTTCAAACCCCGCATCAAAGCTTCCAGACTCCGATTCCAAATGTTTATTATGGTCCTCCAGCCACTGCAACCCCACCTCCATTGCCACGAAATACTGGAATTGGATATAGAGTTCGTTCAAGGAATAGACGTCGAAGGGAGAGACGCGGACGTGGTGCACAAGAGTGAAGTGTTCTTTAGAGTTGTTAAGTTGTTCTATTTCTAATGAGTTGTTAAGTGGTTCTATTTCTAATGACGTTGTTCCGTTGTTCTATTTCTTTAGAGTTGTTTAGTTGTTCTATTTCTTTAGAGTAGGACTGGAGGTTCGGTTATCGGTTGCCGGTTAACCGGCCGGTTAAACCGATAACCGGCGGTTACCGGTTAACCGATAACCGAAAATTATATGTTTCGGTCGGTGGTCGGAGCTCCTAATAGGTAATTTAACCGAGTAATCGAAAACCGGTTATTCGGTTAACCGATAATAACCGAAAATAACCGACCGACCACCCCCCTCACCAAAACGATGTAAAAATACCCGGTTATGAAGTTTATAATTTTATGTTGTTGAATTTGAGACATTAATTTGGTGATTTGGATGTAGAAATGTAAGTTAGAACCTTTCATTTTAGGCAATTCTAATAATTTTACCCGGTTAAAACCGAACCACCATCATTTTTCGGTTATCTCGGTTAACCGACCAACTAACCGATAACCGACCGGTCGGTTATTGGTTAACCGATGCATTGGCGTCGGTCAGTGTTCGGTAGGGGGAGATGGTGGTTCGATTAACCGGTAACCGACCAATCGGTTATCGGTTATAACCGAACCGAACCGAATCCACCCCTACTTTAGAGTTGTTTAGTTGTTCTATTTCTTTAGAGTTGTTAAGGTGTTCTATTTCAAATGACGTTGTTAATTTGTTTTATTTCTCATGCATTGTTAAGTTGTTCTAATTCACAACATAAAGTTTTTAAATCACAACATAAAATTCAAATTACAACACAAAGTTCTTAAATCACAACATAAAATTCATATTACAACATAATGTTCTTAAATCACACCATAAAATTCAAATTACAACACAAAGTTCTTAAATCACACCATAAAATTAAAATTACAACACAAAGTTCTTAAATCACACCATAAAATTCAAATTACAACACAAAGTTCTTAAATCACACCATAAAATTCAAATTACAACATAAAGTTTCAATTATCAGTCGATGGCCCTGGACACTGGCGCCTATCATGCCCTTCAACTCGACATGCAGAGCACTTCTTCGGGCGGCGTCGCTGTGTCCTTGATCTATCCATTTCATTTGCAATTCGGTTAACTCTAGGTCGACCTTTGGTACGCTTCAAGTGCTCGGGAGGGTACACTACAGGTCCATCATACTGGGGCCAATATGCTTCATGAGCCAAGGGAAAGAACGACCCTTCCCAAACTCTGACCACGTATGGAGTCTTGTAGTATGGACTAACAAATATCAACGGGTCCAAATTAACGCTTCTCGCAGCTGCATATGCATGAGAGCAAGGCAGGTGTCTCCCTTGAAACTT